AAAGTAGAGTATATAGGTTAAACCTAAGCTATAAAAGAAGCTATCTAGCTTTAGTGCTAACTTAATAAACTTAATACTACTATAGAGGTTACTATAACTATTATCTTTAGTAATAACTAGGGTATATTAGCTCTTATAAAGAACCCCTAGTTTTATAGTTATACTAAGTATATTAATACTTAGTAGTACTACTATTAAGAACTATATAAATAGGGTAAAGTAGACTTTTACTTTAAACCTATATATAAGTAAATTACTAATAGCCTTACTAAGGCTCTACCCTATATACTATTTAAGACGTTTAGAAATAAATTAAGCCTTTAATAGAAGCTATAATCTAATAGGAGATATATAAGGCAGTAGGAGATAAAGCTATAGAGCCCCTAGCTAACTAGATAACTTAACGCTAATTAAGGTCTATTATCTTTCTAGCTTTATATAAAACTTTAACTTACTATAACTTCTTCTATAATAACTTAATATAATTATTCTTTATACTAATTAAACCGCCTTAATATACTCTATATGCCTATATCTTTATTAATAAATTCTACTTATAATAAAGCTAAAATAACTACTAAAAACTACTTTAACCCCTAAGGGGTAGCTCTCTTTAAACTTCTAGAGGACCCCTTTACTACTATTAACTACCTAACTATAATGCTTAAGAACCTATAGTAGTAGGAAGGACCCTATATCTATCTAGATATAGTTTCCTTTTAAACTAATTAAGTTAGAAAGTTCTAAGTTAACTTAATACTTAATATTAAGCTCTATTACCTTATTAGTAACTTTATATAAGCCCTAAAGGATAGTAAGGACTATTAGGTTAGGCTATTTAGTAGCCCCTAATAAAACTAGATTAGTACTAATAATAAGTAGAAGAAAGTACCTTAATATACCTTTAGTGCTATAATTATATTTAATAAAACTAAAGGGAAATACCTATTTATATATAATAATAATATAAAATAGGGAGTCATAGAGGATAATAAAATTAGCTCTATACTCTAGAGACTATAGTAAAACCTCTATAACTAGCTCTACATATAGTATAAGTTAGTAACTATATAGTACTTAATAGACTAATAATATATAAATACTAATAGGTACTTTATTTTAGCCTTAAGATAATTATAATAATAGTTACTTATAGAGGATAAGAAGCTTAAGGAATAAGATCCCTATACTATAGGCTATATCTACTTAACTAAATAATAAACTATAGAGTACTTTTTTCCTATTACTATTTTCTCCTATAAGGTTTTTAATAAGAAAGGGTTTAATAAGGCTTAATTAAAGCTTAATATACTTAAAATAGGTTAAGAGGTAATAGAGATAGCTATATAGGCTTAAGTAGGAGTATTATAATATATACTATAGTAGCTAGAGACCTAATAGGGGGGGGAGTAATATAGTGTTACGGTCAGCTTATCCGACAGTAGGGTCTGCTAACAGAAGCTGAGGGATAACACTAATAAATAGTAACGTATCGTTATAAGGTTGTTGGTGTAGTCCTAAATAGATTAGAGTCTCAAGGGTTGTAGTGATTAGTTATAAGCCTAATAAGATATTTATAGTATAAGATATACTGAAAGTATCTGAGGGATGAATATAAAGTTGATTGCTAAAGAGCTATAGAAGTATGTCCTTAAGTCGTAACAAGTCCATCCTATATATAAGTCCTATGTGGTCCCTTTGCCTAGGTTACTGAGCGGCGACCTTTCCCTGGTGAGCGCTCACTCAGTCTCACTGAGCGCTCAGTGCCAAGAGTGAGCGCTCAGTGTCCCACACTGATCGCTCAGTTTATCTTATCTGCACGTGACCTGTCTATAGTTCTTCCGCTTCCGAGGTGAGATCTTTTGTTCCCGTGATTCTGCATACAAATGTGACGTTCTTAGCCGCCCAGCTGTCCTGGTGGGGCTTCCTTGTTAAGTGTGCCCAACGGGTCGTAACATATAGCTACTACCTAGATATATATAGAGGGCGTTATACCTACCTCTTATAGCCCTAAGGGAGTTAAGCAATATACTTATAAGTTTATATATACCTATTATTAATACTTATAACCACTATATTAACTTTCTTGAGTAGCACACCTAGCAATTTAAGCACTCTTATATCTACTATAATAGGTATTACCACGAGTATCCCATCTAGCACACTCTCAACCACAGCAACTATGGTAACTATGCTATCTTCTAGCAGCAGCTCTGGCATAAGTATGACAATAACTAGTGGATCTAGCACTTTAAGCACGCTCCCTCTGAGCACTTCGGAAAGCAGTTCCGGTTCTTAAACGACCTCGTACAGCTCTTCAACTTTGACCGGCACTATGGTTTCTAATAGCGAAAGGCCTTTAGCATCGACTACGTTAAATTTTACTAGTAGCGTTCCGTAGGGAACCTCATCCTCTACGTCGCTGGCCTTATCCTCGCCCCTATTAAGCTTAACGCTGGCGCCTACGTTTCCAACTTCATCGACCATTTTCATGCCGGGGTCAACTTCGTCTCTTTTGTCCTCATCCCTAGGTACGCTTACCACGAATTTGCCATATAACAGACTAATGGAGGTTCTAGTATCATCTTCGACAGCTAGGCAGTCTTCCTCATCCCAAGCAACGCCTGATCCAAGCACACAAGCTTCATCGACCCCTTTTCTTTCCACTTCAACGTCCGCCTCTGGATCAACATCCCTTTCTGTGTCAACACCCACGATACCGTTCCAGATACCAAGCGTCACCATCGATAGTTTCTCCGCTCCTCCCTCGAGTGCTTCCTCAAGCAAAAGCCCTATCACCTCTGAAATATCAACACCAAGCATTGCACCGATCTTCAGCCCATCATCTTCCTTTAGATTCACCAACTCGAGTGGCTCAGCCCCATCTCTGGCAACATCGAGTGAACCTATCAGTTCGCGAGATGCAGTTACCACCATTCCAAGCATCACGGCTAGCCAATCAGTCTCGCCGCAAAGCTCAAGTCCTGAAGGCGCATCCAGTCGAGCATCATCAAGCACGCTCACACTTTCCAGTACCACGAGCTCTAGGTCGACGTCATTACTGGAGTCGTCATCATCAGCTTTTACTTCGACGCTGCTAAGTAGCACCTCGGCGCAGACTCAAAGTTCGTCATCAGCCACGTCACTCTCCGACACGGTCTCCCCACCATCGAGCACTTTCACTTCTTTTACCCTCAGCAATCCAAATGCATCCTCCAGCCAAAACTCTGGCCTGTTAAGCTCCTCTCCTACAATTCCTATCTCTGTCACACCCGGTCAATCCAGCTCTTCGTCAAGTCCTCCCGCTGTCAACACGACCAGTCCGGCGTCTCTGGAGGAGACCACTACCGGCACTTCCTCTGTCACATCGGTCCCTCAAAATACCGTCCTTGTCGGTACCCATATCATATTCGCAATCTTGGCTGGTGCTCCGGGACCTCCAGCCCAGACATCTGGTGTCGGGAACTCCTAGACAAGCTGAATAAAGGCAAATATTGCCGCGGGGTTCCAACGTTGTTCGGACTGAAACACATATCATAACGTGACGATTTCTCTTTGCCGGTTGATATTATGTAAAGTTTCCTGCAATTACAAACGGACTGGAATAGTGACTGTATGTGTGTGTCTCAGAACTACGAAGACAAGGCGCAGGAAGCTGGGACCCCAGCCACTTGATCAAAAGCCACATCTCCAGACTGAGACCGTCAAACGGCCACCGTAGGGCGGTGTAGTTGGCAAACGCCCGTGATTCTAGTACACATATAAGACTACCGCTCGCAGTCCCTCATAATCTATCAAAACTCCGCGCACCACGACAATCTTTGATACTCGTCGCCTAGCAGATTCCACCTCCTCAAACAATGGTAATCCATGATGCCTTCTGGAACACACCAAAACCTACCCACGCAGCTTGCGCGCCGAGCCCAGCAGCCGTCCGGCTCCCCATCCTCAAGACGCACAAATAGACCACGCAGAATGGTTGTCGAAATTTTGAGCGACAGCGAAGATGAGCTTTTTGTGCCTCGGGGCGAAGCTGCAAACCGCTCGACATCGAACCATTCCCGAAGCCGACCACTGCTGCTCAGTCCACCCCAGACACCGCCTTCACGACAACTAGTCGAACGCAGCCCCCCTATTCTACGCGATTCCAGAGAACAATTTGGAAGCCCTGCTGCGTCGAGAGGCTTTTACAGCCCGGAGCACAGCGCGCAGGGTCTGACCCGCGGTGCTGCTGCTATGGCAACATTCCAGGGAGGGCCAATCCGTTTCAACCTCGAGAAGAACAAGCCTGCTTCTCTGGAAGCCTCAAGATTTTCAGCCCTTGAAAGAGTGCCAACGTCTGTCGGAGCTTCGAGACTTACCCCGTCGGTCCGACTAGTTCGTCGCAGGTGGAATGCGCAATCTCTGATTTGGGCGTTTGCATGGTGCCAACTCGGACTCTGGCTTGTCGCTGCCGTGTCCTACATCTGTCAAGTTCGAGCGGAGCAGGGAGCTGGCGAGGCCTACACGTTTATGTCCGGGGTCATGCGCGAGGTCACGGAGAATCAGTTTGTGTTTGTCATTGGCTTCTGTTATGCTGGATTGGTGTGGTGAAGGGTTGCTCTGGATATGGTCAATTGAATGAAGGCCGTCGCTTTAGTTTGAAAAGAAAACATCTCTCTGACAGTAATTATTTCTCTTATGTTCGTTGAAATCAGTTTCACGATGCGAAAATAGAATATGATCTACGAGGGCATGCGCTCGGCGGACTAATGTTAGTGATATGGTCGTCTTTGCTTGCTATTAATTGCTTGCGAGTAACTGTTGCATCATGCTGACTATGAGAGCCATGAAGGCCTAGCAATTCTTACGAAATGAATAATTTGAATTAAACCTTACTACAACCCGAGGAATAAATGATGACTCTCGGTTGACACTACACGACATATGAGGTGCACGATAGGCTCCGCAAACGAGCTCAAGACCCGGCCTACTCTCACATCTTGAACCTCTTGAGTCCTCTAGCACACGGGAACATTGATGACCTGTCCAACTTGGAGGGTCTCCGGGACAACGCCAGGGTTGGCGCCGGTGAGAGAGTCCGTGGTAATACCAAGGCTTTGGGCGACAACGAAAAATGTGTCGCCAGACTTGATGGTGTAGGTGGCAGGTCCACCCTTTACGCAGGTAGCCTCTCCAGCAGGGGTCAAGCAAGACGTGTTGTCAGGCTTGCAGACGTTAACGGGGACCAAGAGAACCTGGCCCACGAAAATGACGTTGGGGTTCGCCAGCTTGTTCTGCCAAGCGATATCGCAGATGCCGGAGTTGTAGCGCTCGGCGATGGTCGTCAAAGTCTGTCCGGCCTTGACGGTGGTCTTGTGGAAGTCTCCAAGCTTGCCGCAGGCGGCAGAGGGTTTCGATCCGGTGGTAGAGGTCGTTGCCGTCTAATGTACGGTTAGTTATATCTTAGTTGAAAGGAATGGGACACTGCGAGTGGCGTACGGGGAGAGCTGCAACGAGGCCAGCGGCGGTGGCAAGGACGGTGAAGATTGAGAACTGCATGTTTTTTGTTGGATGAATTATGTGGTCGTATCAGTGTTTTTTTGGTTATGATAGAAAGAATGGACAGATCTTGTGATCAAAGATTAAGAATGTGCTTGGAAGGTTGCAAAAGAGTGACGAAGTTGGTTGATGGACAGAACGTGTGAGTCGAGCAACAAGAAGAGCAGACCAGCAGCTAAATACATAACGTAGCATTCACAACAAGTAAGAAAACAACCCGAGAATTCCGACATCTCTCACATATTTGCGAGGCCGGAAATGGCTTCATTAATTTAGGTTTCTCAGTACTCGCCGACATCCGTGTTCACGGGCTGTGAGAAATGAGGCTTTCTGAAGTGGGGCCATTTTTGACCGTCTGGGTAATCATCGTGATTCTCAACATGGAAATTGAGTTTTGGATTGGCCAGTTCTTTTGAGTTCAAGCCCTTATCCTTGTCAACGAGTCTTGCGAACACGTCTCTCGGCAGAGTCATGCAGCAACATCGGAGAAAAATCAATTATCCACCACTCATTTCTTGACTGAACTTTGCTTGTCTAGGTTCCCTCGCCCAGACCTTTTTCGCCCGGGTATCTAACAATGACCACAGCCGCAAGCAAGTAGTTGCATGACTAGACTAGTGTGCTTTGCGGGGACGGATGACCCAAGACTGAAGACTTCTAGGCCGAATGTGTGAATTGATTGTGGTCGCAATTGCAAGAAATACCATAAGCCACAACTCTGAACTTCATCGTCCATAGCACTGCGAGCAAGAAGCAGAGTGGCTATATAAGTAAAAGTAACGTCACGAGAGTATTGCGGCCCTCAAATATCATGAGGAGGGATGAGTTTGTGTTAAGACCACGCTTCGTCTGTGAATTACCGGTTGAGAGATGTGTCAGACCTTAAATACAACAAATTGATGTAACTAAGTCGGCGCTGGCCAGTAGCAGGGACAATTTTGTGTCATAAGCCAGTTAGATCGCGAATTCTGACTAACCTCCTGTAGTTGCGAAATTTATCTTGGGCCGCTTAGGTTATTAACCAAGAGTATATCATATTCTTACATGAGGACCTATATGGAAAGTCATTCCCAAAGGTGTTGCTTGATACGAGTTCTTTTCTTTTCTTTTTTCCTTTTTTTTTTTGGCGTAACTCGCGATAACCTCACTTTTTCATAAGGACCTCATGAGCGTTACTACCCAGCACATGTGAGCGTTTGAACGGGAATTGCAGCAAAAGTCTAATAATCAGCGGCCGGCTAATTTGCAGATTATTCTCATTGCAGTTTCTGGAAAGTCTATTAAGTATTTTATTTCCGTGGAGAGTATCTCGCTTTGTAGAACCAAAATTACGTTTCAGGACGGCATCAGCGCAACTGGTTCCGTTTAAAACACAACGACCCCGCATGACTGAGTTCCTTCATGTTGCTATGGCATTTGTCTTGGCGAAATGAGTACCATTTTGAATTGATGCAATAAATTTTATCTATTCTCTGGCGTTAATCCATGCCATGTTAAGAGATACTAATTGAAGCTTCAACATTGCCATTGATGTGAACAGCTACGGAAACAGACAATTCTGAGAGCGCAGCAAACTGTATTTTTGGATGCTAATGAGTGGCTATTGAGGCATAGATACATGCGATTTTCTTTTGGGTGGTAAATATACCGTAGACGGCAGGCTCGTCCCATCTCGGCAGCAAGCTCGGGTAAAGAAAGAAAACTCAAGAAACCAGCTGTCCGGCCACAAAAAGCCTAAGACCTGGTGTTGTAGGGATCACTGGCGTCTTGAAAGCAGAGGACAGAGTTTCCAGTGTACTTGCACTCTGAACCGCTTTGTCAGCAAAGCCATCATTGCATATCTGACAGGTCACAGGCCTGACTTAAGGTTTAAACGGTCCAATTCCTGATTTCCAAAGGTCGGCTTCTATTAACATAAAGCTGGGAACAGCGCCAAAAGGGTCTTACTGGGTCAAGCAGACTTCTTGTCTGAGTTCGGTAGGTTTCTTGTACCGTGAAGACTAAGTAGACAACGTTAAAAACAAAATACAAGACCTAAGAGGTAAGTAGAGTCAACAGCTGAGAGATAAACAATAGCAGTCCATGGTAGATGCTTGTAAATGTGACTGGATATGAATGGATTTGAGCTAAGCTTGTAATTTCAAAGGCATTCTTGGACCGAATCTTCGTCATGAAGGCCGAATAGCTATGACAACCGGCATGATGACATACAGCCAATGCATCCCGAGATTGATCAACTCATATGTGGAACAAATGTTTATCAACCGAACGCAGCATGCGAGCGTCTTTTCTAATTCGTGATATGTAGCTTGCTGAAATTTATTTAACCTTCCTATAAAGGTAATACGAAAGCAAGTTCACTTGAAGACAGCGCGTTGTGGTCGACACAAATTGTATAAATTCTGGGCAAAATCTGACGACGTCCCGCAGAAGTTGTATTTTGTGGTCTAATTATACTTTAGGATCATATTAAAAGGGTCGAATCTCGTAGTCTAATGAGAATGCGAGGCATGACACAGATCTGCGCGAGTTTATAGTAGGAGCCGTTGATAAACATTTGTTTCTAGGACTTATTAAACTTCTCCAAAAGAGCACATCTATCAAGCCATCTAAGAAAATACAGCAGATTGAAACAAAAGCTTTTATATCAAGTCTTATTATAGAAGTTACTGTTGCGGTAAGTATGCATTAGTATATTTAGTGTGTTCATTAACAGCCGAGCCTGTAGGCTGTCCTGCTAGGGCATATCGGAATCATCACGTTACGGACTTCACAATTGAGGATTGGTTCTATTTAGTATAAAAGCTCTGCGATTGTCATGCTATAGACTTCATGTGAGATTCAATGCCAGGATCGCTAAGAAAGAGGGTTCTGCTCTCTATAAAAGCTAATAGTATATAAAAATGCTTTAACATAAGACATCAGCATATAGCTCGGCATTATAAACATAAGCCGTACTAAACTTCTAAGATACTGCTATATATCTAACTAGTGCTAATACTACCTAATTGCCTCTACTAACTTTATTCTCTACTCTAATATAGTATTTACCTCTAGTCTTATAACCTCTATAATATTATATATAGTACTATTATTAATATATATTAGAATTTTATTAAGTATATCCTTAATCCTCTATAATATATTAATATTACTTATAAATAATATAGTAATAAGTTTATACCTAAAGAGTAAGATCTAAACTCTCTATTAATAAGAGAGGTTATTATAAATTATTATAAGATATTAAGGCCTCTTAATATTAAGGAAATAGTTAATAATATTATAATAAAACTAAAAGTACTTTATAGCTATATTAAAGAGGTAATATTATAAATAATTATAGCTTATAGTTAGATTTATATTAATACTAAAAAAGTAAGAGATAGTTATAATAAAAAGTAATAAAAGGGAAGTATTTAGGAGATAAAAATAAATAATAAAGATAAAGATATAAAATAAAGATATAAGATAATTATCTTTATTTAGCTAATATAAAGGCCTCCTTAAGTAGGAATAGTTTAGCCTATCTTTATAAGGTTCTCTCTTTCTTAAAGTTCTTAGCTATTACTTTAAGTAGGGCTAAATTCTATAGTAGTTCTATAGTAGCCTAAAAGCTTATTAAGAAACTTTTCTAAATATTAAATATTAAATATATACTTATTAAGTATAATAAGATATCTATAACTAGATTATAAGGGTAGCTATATTATATTATGCGGCGTATTGCATTTGTGACTATGACTGAGTAAGTGTGGATATCGCGAGATATTTAATTTCTATGTGTCTGACCTTAACCCGCAGTTTAGTGGTTGATTACTTGCAATTTAGGAAGCAAACTATCACGTAGGAACGCGGCTCACGGGAAGGAATCCTTTAGTTTCTCTGCATCGGGGTCTGCCAGCGCTAAGCTGTCTCGTCATCCTCATCCCGAAACAACTATTACGCATACAAAGCTCCTAATAGCTTTATTGGTCAGTGTGTCTGAGAGAAGCTCGCATGCATTAAGGCGCTAACACGTGAGTCGTGGCGACTCCCTACTGTCCGCACAGCGTGAATGATTCAGGTTGTTGTTTGCCACCTAACTGCAGTTCGAGCCATTCATCACACCGCAGAGATTCCTTTCTAAAGGTATGTCCAACTTATCCCATCCCAGCCGACTACTCATCTCACAAGATTGACGTTGTCACCAAGCTTCTATTATATTTGTAGTAATTGTAAGGTCTCGAGCACAAGGCCAAGCGTATCCCCCAATCAAACGGTTATCCGAGACCGAAGGTCGGCTTCCCTCAACCACCTCCACTTTTAAGTGAGTTGTGACGTTACAGTCCGCTACTCCCCGCTGACCCCAGACGAACTCGGAGTAATTTTGAAGGTTAAACGCCTAAATTCACATCCTTTAACAATTCGGGGGTTGTCCAAGTCATCCTCCGCGCAAGGCTACCGGCAATACACGATGCATGTACTCAAACTCATTGCTTGCCAACAGCATGGCCATTCAAACATGTGACATGCCTGCCTCTGTGCTTCCCGATGTCTCTAGTCTAGACAGAACTTCTTAACTATTGGATCAATGCTACTACTCTACTACTCGCGACGTTGCTGTGAAACACACAGCTTCACAATTTGATCAAGGCACGAAAGCCGAAGGAATCTCATTCCCCTGGCCACCTTGAATGGCCATTGGAGGCCACGCTGGATCCTCCTCCCATGCAGTACGGAATATGTGTTGGCCACTTCCAACCTTTTTCTTGACGCCGTTTAAGATAATTTCCGCTTCGCAATTTGGTGGCACAGAAACCTCCGTGACCATTGTCAGGCCGACTTTCTTCCAGTTCACCGAGTATGGCCCATAGGGAGAGTCGAAACTGGTCTCAGCATGCGTTATTGTGCCACCAGGTCGAGGCCTTACAATGGCAGTCTTCCATCCGGGCGAGCCGGCGGACAATCCTCCGACAGTATGGTGCAGGAAGCTGCACACAGATCCCAACGCGTAGTGGTTGAAGGAAGTCATCTGGCCCGGGTTGATGGATCCATCAGGAAGCATGGAGTTCCAACGTTCCCACTAAAAGCAGAAACGGTCAATTTCATGACTGCGGGGAGGAGGCAGACAGCAGGGGTGATGGCAGGGATCTACTCACGATGGTTGTCGCACCCATGCTGACGGGATACAGCCAGCTGGGACAGTCCCGCTCCTGGAGCATCCTGTACGCATGGCTCTGCAGGCCGTTGGTAGCCAAGGCCTCGAGAAGGATTGGCGTACCCGCAAATCCGGTCTGGATTTTGAAAGCATCCCATCTAATCAGCCAGTCCAGCCTCTGGCGTGCTGTCTGGACCTCCCTCTCGGTACTCAACAACCCGAACTTCAGAGCTATAACATAAGCAGTCTGCGTATCGGCTACAAGACGACCGGTCGATGTTACGTATTCCTTTCGGAATGATTGGCGCAGGCGAGTTGCTTGCCCGGCGTAAAGGGCCTCTTTCTCCCGCTCACCGAGCAGTCCGCCGATCTTTGCCGCGAGCTCCGTAACGTAAATCAGGTATGCGTTGGCAACGAAGAAGGGGTCTGTTGGACCGTGGCCAGGTAGCTGGGGAGGGCATCGAGGGTCTAACCAGTCGCCATATTGCGGCGTGTTCATGGCATAGAAGCCCCGTTCGTCTCGTGGAACGCCCTTGTCGAGCCAGAGACACATGCTGGGCCACTGCTTCGCGAGTACTTCTTTGTCCCCGAAAGCATTATAGAGATCCCAGGGTGTGATGATAGAGCTATCTGCCCAGACGGCCATCGGTCTGTTTTCAGGGTGCCGAGGTGGAATAGGAATGGAGGGAATGATGTTGGGAACGACGCCGTCAAGATCCAGTTGGTCCGCATAAAGATCTTCTAGCCAGTGACCCAGGAAGGAGGCCGTGTCGAATAGATAGTTCGCTGTAGGGGCGAAAACCTGCAAGTCTCCTGTCCAGCCAAGGCGTTCGTCCCGCTGAGGGCAGTCGGTGGGAACTGAGACGAAGTTTCCTCTCATGGACCAAACAGTGTTCTCGTGGAGCTTATTTACCAAATTGTGTGAGCTCTGAAAGGTTCCCGTTCTATGCAGATTGGATGAGATAACCACTGCGGTGAAGTCCGACAGTTGAATATCATCGTATCCAGTGATCTCAGCATATCTAAATTGCTTCGTTAGGTTTTTGCTCAGAACAAAAGGATTACGGCTGGCGGCTGACGTACCTAAATCCAAAAAAGGTAAAGCTTAGTTCCTATCTTTTAGTAGTGCCACCCAGTTTTATATATTACCTTTCCTATATTAGCGCTATTATTTAATAATAAGGATTAATTTAAGCCTAATTATACTTAGTATATCTAAAACTACTAACCTTATATCTAATATATCTAGATCCTAACTAATACCTCTATATACTATTCTATTATTATTAGGATATTAAATAGGCTAATCCCTATATTATTATATAGCTTACTATATTATAATATACTAAAGATTAATAATAGCTTATTTTTTATTTTAATTACTATTTAAGCTATAAATAAATTTAGATATTATTAAAATATTATATAACCTATATATTATTATTAAATTATTTATTTCTTTAAAAAGATAGTATCTATTATAATATTCTTATTAATATAGTATATAAATAAAGTTTTATTAATATAGTTTAAATAAAAAGGGATATTATTTTTAATAATATTAAGGGATTAAAGAGAATTAAAAATAATAATTACTCTAAAGAGGATATTAATATAAGCTATTATAAGGCTAGAGATATAGAATAATATTTTAAGAGAATAAAATAGGAAATAAAAGAATAAAGGTTATAGTATAGTCTTAATAGTAAAAGAGATAATCTCTTATAGACTAATATCCCTTATTAAGGTTTTACTCCCTTTAACCTTAAAAGTAAGGCTATTTATACTATTAAGTATATTAAAAAGCTTATTAAAATAGAGTTTTATTCTTTTAGAATATTAAGTATTAAATATATACTTATTAGGTATAATAAGATAATATTAATAGCTAGATTATAAGGGTAGCTATATTATATTGCGCAGCGTATTGCATTTATAGTGCTACCTAGTTAAAGGGTGACCTGCGCCTTTGCTGTGCGCAGGGGTCTGATCCCAAGCTCACCATTTTCGAGGACCTCCGCGTGTTTTATTATCAAGGTTCCTTTCCCCGAAATTTCGCACTCAATTCTCAGCCACCCAACAAGGTTCTGACCAAAATCCAAGACGCGCTTCCCACTTGGCGTGGTAATGATCTCTCGGGGCTTGATCTCCATGATTCGTTTTACAGGAGGTACATCTGGTGCAATGAGCCTTGCCTCGGGGAACCCAAGCTCTTCTGCGTGACCCATTCGATTCGTGGAAACCTCCTCTTGCAAGGCTGTAGTCGACCAAGACTGTTCAGAAACAGTGGTATCAAAGGTCTCGCCATTGTAAAGCTCAGACGACAAAACGGGGCCGTCCAGACAGAACTCCCAAGTTTTGTCAGTGCGACAAACAACCTTGCCATCAACTTCGAGTTGAGCAAGAAAGCCAAGTCTGTCTCCCCAAATGTTGGAAACTCCGGGGCGGCCAAGCCTTCCGGCAAACCAACCCTCGCCAATGCAAGCCTCAATGACATTTTCGTCTGGCGAGAGTAGTTCCGTGACGTCGTATGTCTGATAGTGAAGACGATGGTTGTAAGATTGCCACCCTGGTGTGAGAACTTGGTCTCCGACCCATGTGCCATTTATCTTGACTTTGTATATGCCATGAGCAGTGCAATACAGCCTGGCACGCCCAGGGTTCGTGATAGAGAACTTGTGACGCAGGCAAATTGGCTTTTTGGACTTCTCAGGCTCCTGGGCAGGGCCAGAGATCAGGGCCGCTTGCCAATTTGCTCTGTCGAGAAGGGCGACCTCCAAGTTCAAAGCTTGCCAGTTGGACTCTGAACCATCTATGCCGGTCGCTCGCACTTCCACTTTGGCTGTATCTCTGGATGAGAGAGGCTTAGACGGCCACGGAACGAGCAGTGAATCACTTGTGTTGCAGTGGTGCCGTTCAGCCATGGAGCCTGGACGAGTGACCACGATGTCGTACGAAGCTTGTCTCCAGTTTTTGGTGGTCGTAGGTCCAAATTTCCACGAGAGGCGCGGGGAGCTGTGAAAAATTCCGAACCCATTGTGATGATGTTCAGCTGTGACTTCGACGATTTGCACAGCCATCTTCAATACATGTAGCTCGTGGAGATGTCGTCTTCGTGTGGCTAACTGATGAGTGCTAGTCGAAAACGGACTTCATTACTTTCTCAGTATCATGTTTCGTCATTGACGCATGTAAATATAGCCGATTGTTAAAGGACTTTGCTCGACGACACATCTGCGTAATGACGTTTCATCATACCGGCTGCTCTTGAACCGAGATCACAGAGGCTCGCGGAAGCATCCTACCGATTATCTCACGTAACAAGGAATGTGCGTTTGGGAATCGGGCTACAGCTGACCGAGGCGATGTTTACCATGGCGGACATAAGAGCCAAACTGCGGCTGAACCAATGCAACTTGATGACAGGAGGCGGGGATATTGCGCTAGAGACGGGGCTGGAGTTGCCTCCGGCATTGATATCCTTGCTGACAAGCCAAAATGAAACATTGGCACGTTGGGAAGTAACCCCCGCGTGAACCGAACCCCGCATAACGTCTTCGGGGCCAACATAAACCGGAGAAACAGGTCTTATGGGGTATAGCACACTCTTCTGTTTAGGTTTAGTGCCGTGATATTCATCAGAATGTGTAGGGATTAACCTGTGGTGGCTCCTTGTTGTGCTCTTGTTTGGTGTATAGTAGCAGCTTAGCCGGTATACAGTAGAGATATTTAATAATTAGGTAGCGTTAAAAGCATTTTGTAACTACTCTCTCTTAGGCAAATTTATAATATATTAATTTATTTAAATAAGGAGCATAGGGAACTTAGAGTAAATCTATAGCTAGAGTATATAATACCTATATTATAGCTACCTATAGGTACTTAATAGTTTAATTAAGGTAAAATAGGAAAACTAGAAAATAGTTTTTTAAATACTAATTAAAATAAATTAAAGTTATAAACCTATAGTACTATAAAATATTTATATCTATAGATATTTTTAGTTACTTTTAAAATAAAATAAAATAAAAAATATAGAAATAGAAAATTAAAAGCTTATTAACTTAAAGTTTATAAATAAGAAAAACGTAATAAAGTTATTATATATAAATTATTATTAAGAATACTATATACTTATTAAGTTATAAATTTAGCTTTTTTATATATATTTTTATATTTTAACTTTTATTTATTTTTTTATTAAAATATAATTACTCTTATTAATAATAAGAGTATATTTCTTTTTAATATAAAGTATTTTTATATTTTAGTTTTAAAACTAATAATATATTTATTAATAAGAGAAAAAGGATTTTAAATATTAATAGGGTTATTATTATTAAAAAAGCTTAATATAAATTAAAACTATTTATCTTTAAAAGAAAGAGAATAAAGCGCTTTAAATTAAGTATTAAAAATAATTAATAGAATACTAGCTTCCTATTAATAATAAAAGTAATATTTAAGAGGGAGACTAAAAAATAAATAATTTCAAAAAATAATTAATATAAAAGATTACTTTAAAAAATAAAGAACTAAAAAATATTTATTCTTTTTATATTATAAAGAACTTAAATTATTGAATATAATTATAATCTTTTTTATTAGCTATAAGTTCTTTAAAAGAATTATTTACTAATTATAATAAATAGCTATAAAGTTATATATTAAGAAATTATTAAAAAATACTAAATAAATAAAAATAGAAATATATTAAAAAAAGAATATAAAAAGCTATTTAATTAACTCTTAAAGAGCTTTAAAAGCTAATTTCTAGATTTATAGATTTAATATATATTAGCTCTATTTAATATTAAGCATTTTATAAGCTAAATATTAAAATATAGCCTTAAGGATAAAAAGATTAATAAACTTTTATATCTTTTTAATCTTATAGAGAGTAATAACTATATAAAATTAAAAATAAAGTAATTTATTAAAGTAATTAAACTTATTATTAAGATAGATATAATATTTATATTTATATTAAGAATTAATTAGCTTACTCTTTTTAAAGACTATAATACGCTATTTCTTATAGAATAATATAATTAATAAGTAATAAATATTATAAGCTTAAAAAGAGAAATTAGTAATAGTTAAAAAAAAAGAGAAAAAAAAATATTTATATTTATAGAGACATTATATTTAATATATAAAGAGGTTTATAATATAAATAAGAGAAAAAAGAAGTTTATTTTTAAAAAGAGTAGATTTATAACAAAGGTAAGAGGTAGTCTAAAGAGATAGAAAAAGTAAAAGACTACTTTATATTAATAAGTATTTAGTCTATATATAGTAAAAAGAAAAACAATTTTATATATAAATAGATAAAAGCTACTTTATATTAATAAGTATTTAGTTTATATATAGTAAAAAAACTAATATTTATATATAAATAAGTAAAAGCTATTTTATATTAATAGGTATTTAATCTATATATAATAAAAAAAATACTTTTTTAACTTTAAGAAGGAGTACTGAAATAGTATAATCTATATAGTTTATATAATATTAATATTTTAATAAGGCTAGAGAAATTTCCTTATAAAAGTAAAATAAATTTCTTTTTTTTAAATCTTTTAAAAATAAAATATAAAATTATAATAAGGTATTATATCTTTATAATATTAATAGCTAAACTTTTAACTTATTCTCTATATTTTAACTTTAAAGATAGTAAAGATTAGTTATAGCTATAATAAATATAGATTTTAAATTGAAAGTAATTATTTATATTAATTAATTTTTTAAAGTTAGCTATTTAGTTTAAATACTAAATAAAAGTATAAAATAGTATTATATATTAGGTATATATTTCTAAATAGGTACTACTAAAGCTAAATGAGAGTAATAAGCTCTACTATATTAATCCTAAAT